CGCGGCCGTGTGGGCCCGACATCATGTTGGCCCGACATCATGGTGTCAAGTCGGGGTCGCGGCCGTGTGGGCCCGACATCATGGTGTCAAGACGGGGTCGCGGCCGTGTGGGCCCGACATCATGGTGTCAAGACGGGGTCGCGGCCGTGTGGGCCCGACATCATGGTGTCAAGTCGGGGTCGCGGCCGTGTGGACCCGACATCATGTTGGCCCGACATCATGGTGTCAAGTCGGGGTCGCGGCCGTGTGGGCCCGACATCATGGTGTCAAGACGGGGTCGCGGCCGTGTGGGCCCGACATCATGGTGTCAAGTCGGGGTCGCAGCCGTGTGGGCCCGACATCATGTTGGCCCGACATCATGGTGTCAAGTCGGGGTCGCGGCCGTGTGGGCCCGACATCATGTTGGCCCGACATCATGGTGTCAAGTCGGGGTCGCGGCCGTGTGGGCCCGACATCATGGTGTCAAGTCGGGGTCGCAGCCGTGTGGGCCCGACATCATGTTGGCCCGACATCATGGTGTCAAGTCGGGGTCGCGGCCGTGTGGGCCCGACATCATGTTGGCCCGACATCATGGTGTCAAGTCGGGGTCGCGGCCGTGTGGGCCCGACATCATGGTGTCAAGACGGGGTCGCGGCCGTGTGGGCCCGACATCATGGTGTCAAGACGGGGTCGCGGCCGTGTGGGCCCGACATCATGGTGTCAAGTCGGGGTCGCGGCCGTGTGGACCCGACATCATGGTGTCAAGTCGGGGTCGCGGCCGTGTGGGCCCGACATCATGGTGTCAAGTCGGGGTCGCGGCCGTGTGGGCCCGTCATCATGGTGTCAAGTCGGGGTCGCGGCCCAAGACGGGGTCGCAGCCGTGGGCCCGACATCATGGTGTCAAGTCGGGGTCGCGGCCGAGCTTTTCTGTTCAAGACATTCGCCATTTCTCTGCAAATCAGCCAAGCAAAGCAAGCACGATGTCGACAGAACAGCGGTCGTGGTGGAGGGAGGTGTGGAAGGTGCACAAGGATAAAGATGTGCGAGTTGAGTTTGCACTGCGGCGAAGGGAGCAGCAGCAAGGGGATGAAGATGAGCGTGGCCAGCAGCAGAGCAGGGCGGAGGCGGTCGAGGGTGATGACGATGTGTTGGGAGACTTGATGGAGACCAACGGCGAGGTTCACGGAAACATGTTTGGCGCACTCGGCTCCCGATTTGAGCACGTGTGCCTGCACTTCGTGCTTCGTCCCAACATCTGGCCGCACAACCAGGCCATCGCGGATCTGCCCCGGCTCACCCCATTGCAGGTGCTGCGGTATGGGCTTGGTGAGGGCGATGACGATGACGAGGATGATGATGACGAGGATTGGGAGGATATGGACGAAGATGAGGATTGGGACGACGAGAACGACGATGAGTGGGATGATGAGAATGATGACAGCGACGATGATGGCTGGGACGAGGACGAGGAACATGAGGAAGGCGAGGAGGATGAGGGTGAAGATGAGGATGATGACATTGCGGACTTTGAATTTGAGCGAGTGGGTGCCCAGGATGGTGCTGGCATTGCTGATCTCTTGGCTGCTCATGCAGCAGCACAACGACAGCGACAACAGCAAGACCAGCAACAACAGCAACAACAACAACAGCAACAACAACAACAACAACAACAACAACAACAACAACAACAACAACAACAACAACAACAACAACAACAACAACAACAGGAGCAGCAAGAACAACAGGAAGATGGTCAGGCAGACCAACAGCAGCCACAGGAGCAGCAAGAGCAGCAAGAGCAAGAAGAAGGTGGGGAGCAGCTCGGCCAGCGCCAACGGCTGCTCAACGCAATGCTGGCGATGCTGCCCGAGGGCTTCCGCAACATTGCGCGCCAGCGCGTGGCCGGGCTTGTAAACGCCGGTGGCAATGACGATGGTGATGGCAATGATAATGGTGACGCCCGCAACGACGGTGGAGACGAAGTGGGGGGTGAGTTTGCGGGCATGAGTCGTCGGGAGCGTTGGCGTGCACTGCTGGGTCAGCGGGACGCCGCACAACAGCACGAGCTGCAGCAGCAAGACATGAACACGTGGCATGAGCGGCCGCCGTTGCTGTATGTGGTGGGTGACATTGACTGCCAGCACCTGACACAGCACGACGACGGGCGGGTGGTGCTTGATAGCCTGTGGACCCCCGGCACGACCACGCTGGTTGATCTGTTCTTGGCGCTGCAGTCGCTCCTGCTCACGCCACAGGACCACGGCCTGCTCGGCACCAGGGCACTCGTACTTGCAAGTACGACCGCGGAGTGCAGCACGTGCGGCCACGTAGGCAGTGTGCCGGAGAGGTGGAGGCCGCAGCCGTCGGATGCGCGCCACCTGGGCACGCCCCCAGCACCAGACACGGGCGCGCTGGACAAGGAGGATGCGCTGCTCGCTGGCGACGAGATTGTGACGATTGACGGCATTGTAACGCAGGCCGAACGCCAGGCCATCCTCGATGACATCAAGTGCTATGTCACCCTGGAGACGATGCTGGACAGCGAGCCAGGGACGGTGTTTGGGTTTGGGCTGACCGTCGACTACTTCCACAACGGCGTTGTGCGCGGCATCACGTCCCCCTGCGAGTACATGACGTGGGATGCGTTTGAGGGCGGTGCACGACGTGGCATGTACAAGCTGCCGCTCATGGCGTTTCTCCCGCTGTACCTCACTCGCGAGCACGCCGAGCGCGCGTACCCTTTGCTGGAGTACATGCTCAACCGCCTGTCGCACACGGTGAGCGACTGCCCCGTGCCGGGCATCAACCACTATGTGCCGAAGCCAGACAAGCTGCGCACGCTCGCCAACATGCTCAACTCGACTGTCGTGTCTGCAATGAAGGCCGAGGCCGAGGGCAGCACGGAGCAAGCGCGGCGGCGCGATGTGCTGGCCCAGCCGCTCTCCCTTCGCCTGCTTGAGGGCTTCCACCAGATGGTGCGCGTGGTCAAGTTTGTTCTGGACAACGACCCGCCACTGCAGGCGGAGCTGGACGCGATGATGGACCGGTTTGTGTCGGCGCCCCCGGAGCAGCGCACCAAGGCGCACTTCCGCAACCTTGGCGAGCTGCTGGCCCTCGTCCCCTTCTCGCGCTTCCGGTGGGAGGACATTATCGAGGCGTATGTGCAGGAGAGCATGGTGCGCGGGGTGCGGTGGTACGTGGAGGAGCACCCACAGCTGCTTGACGAGGACTTGCCTGCGGACGAGCGGGCCAGCCTGGTGTTTGCGGCCATGCGTGTGTCGCGGACGCTGCTGTGCTTCCAGGCGTTTTTCGTGCGGAATGTGGCGCAGCGGGCGTCGTTTGACGACGTGCTGTTCAGCAGCGATGCGCGGTGTGGGCGGCTGCCGTCCTCGCTTGCTGGGGAGATGATGAGCATGACCCGCCAGGTGCACGCGCACCAAACCTGGAACGACTACTTCAACTTTATTGGCCACCCGCCCACGGACGCCGATACGCTCCAGGCCATGCTTCTCTCTGCCCTCCGCAGCTCCCAGCAGCTCGGCTACCACTCCACCTGATCCTCTCTATTCATGTTGTTGTTCTCTCTCTCTGTGTGTGTGTGTGTGTGTGTGTGTGTGTGTGTGTGTGTGTGTGTGTGTGTGTGTGTGTGTGTGTGTGTGTGTGTGTGTGTGTGTGTGTGTGTGTGTGTGTTGTGTGTTGTGTGTGTGTGTGTGTGTGTGTGTGTGTGTCGAAGCGCTTTTGCTCTTTGCTTGCTTCCCTTGCCGTCTTTCGCCTGCGCTTGTGTCGCGACTGGATTCAGTCGATCGTTCGCAATAAAAGCCTTTCAATTCCACTGCACCAAAGCACAAAGCACAACCATGGCGGATATCGAGGCAACCACTGCCGCTGCTCCCACCGAGGAGGTCGTGTTTGGAGACCATGTTCGCAATTGCTTGTGTGCTTTGATTGTCGCATACTGCTTCTTGCTGTGTCGCATCAACATTATTAACCTTTTATTGGTGAAGAAGTGCACCTGGCAACCCTTTACGCCGTTCACGCGATTGTTTCATGAGGTGTCATCCACTGCTTCTTCCGCCCCATCTTACTCACACACACACACACGCACACACACACACGCACACGCACACGCACACGCACACACACACACACACACACACACACACACACACACACGTACACACACACTAGGCAATCATGGACGCCAAGGCGGACGAGCAGCAACAGAAGCCAGAGGAAACAAGCGACAAGCCCGAAGAAGCACCAGCCGCAACAGCGACAACAACAACAACAACGACAACAACAACAACAACAGAAGCGGGCGCCGCGGATGGCGAGGAACAGAAGAAGGAGATGAGTGAGGACGACGACGACGACGAAGATGACGACACCGAGCGCCGTCGCCGCGGTGCACGTGATACATCGCCCACATCCAAGCCACAGTCGGAGATCCAGGCGTTCAAAGTTGATCGGGAGAAGACGTGCCCGTTGCTGCTGCGTGTCTTCACACGGTTCCGGGGCCACAACCGTCTTGACGATTACCGCGGCAAGCGCGTGCCATCCAACGAGTTGCAGATGTACACATGGTCAGTCCACCGTCCTTGGATGCATGTGATCGTGTGTGTTTGTGTGTGTGTGTGTGTGTGTGTGTGTGTGCTTTTGTTTGTGTGTGCTTGTGTGTGTGTGTGTGTGTGTGTGCGAGTGTGTTTAACTCCGCCTGTCTTTCCTGCGCCGTCCACGCAACCTGCAGGATGGATGCCTCCCTCAAGGAGCTGTCTGTGCTGATCAAGGAAGTGAACCTGCAGGCGCGCCGCAAGGGCACAAAGTTCCTTTTCTCCGCAGTCTACTTCAACAAGTGCGATGCCATGTCTGCGTTTGCACATGTGTGTTGCGGTTGCGGTTGTGTGTGGGTGTTTTTTTTTTTTGTTTTTTTTTTTGGTTGCGGCTGCATCTGTACAACTCTTGAGGGCTGTGCGTGCGTGTGAACCACCCCCTGCCATACCTTCCCCAAGTCCCCACACCGTGCCTCTCGTGCTTGTGCCTCTCCAGCCGTGGGCAGGGCGCCATGCGTGACCTCGGTGTTGTCATCAACGGCGAGAAGGTACATTGGCTTTCCGGCTCGCCTCCGTCTTTTGTCCTGGCCAATGATCATGCCCGCATACCGCTTGCCTTGTTTTGAATGTCTCCATGTGTGTCTCTCACCGTGTAGACCGGCGTATCTGCCTTGCTATTTCTTCATTCATCTTCCTTAAACCCCACGCCTGTGTGTCTGTCTGTCTGTCTGTCTGTGTGTGTGCAGACTGGTGACGATGAGAGGACGCTCAAGTCGGTCAACTTCCGCATTGGCGACTATGTCGACCTCGCCATCATCCCCGCCGACCGGTAAGATGTGAATGTCATGAGGCTCTATGGGGAGGGGGACTTTTCATTTCGTTTCATTCCTTTTGCTCTAATCCCCCATACCAACAACTCACCCATCACACAACACAACACAAAACAACACCACAAAACAACACAACACACTATCAACACACTATCAACACCGCACCCCACACAAACAACACCTCACACCACACCACCACACAACACACCACCATGACACCGCCACCAGCCGCGGTGCTCCGCCTGCTGCCCGCCACAGCGACCGCCCCTCCATCCACGACCGCCTTGGCCGCCGACCATCAGATCCCCTGCGCCGCCCCCGGGACTTCCATGACCACCGCGACCGCGACCGTGGCCGTGACCGTGGGTTTGACCGTGACTTTGATCGTGATCGTCGTGCGTATGAGCGTGTGCGCGGCGGGCGTGAGCGCAGCCCTGGTCGCCGTCGCCGCCTCGACGACTATGATGCCCGCCCCCGCAGGCGGCCGTTCGACACCCACGACCGGCGCTGATCAACACACACACACGCACACGCGCCACACGCGCGCACGCGATTGCTTGGGGGAACGTGCGAAATATTGGAGGGTGGTGTTTTGATGTTGTGGAGTGTGCAGTTTGCTGTGTTCTGTTGTGTTCTGGTTGATTTGTGTCTTTGTCGCAATACAGCTCCCGTTGGCTGGGACATTCGCTGTTGGCCCTGCCGGCTGCTTGTTCACTGGGTCAACAACACAAAACAAACCAAGGAAACACTCGACCGACGCTCAACAAAGAAGAGAGAAAGACAACAGCACACGCTCATTACAGCAAACACAAGCAAACGAACAAAGGCACACTTGCACGTGCACAACAGCAGCAGCTTTGGGCACTGCGAAGGTGCATCACGTCACTGCCGGGTCCAACAACAGCGCCAGCAGCGACACGCAACCGAGTGCCTGCAGGCACGCCAAATGCCGCAATACACACGCGTGCGGGTGCGAGCAGCAGCGTGCTCATGCGTAGTACTGGAGATCCTTTTTCTTCTTGGCAGCAACCTCCACAATGGCCTCCATAAAGTCTTCGTGCGAGATGAGCGACGCCTCGCGACGCAGCGCAATCATGCCCTGCAGAACAACCCAAGTGAAACAAGTGGCGGCAGCGGTGGTGGTGGAGAAGGAGGAGAGATTTCGTGAGGACATGGAAAGCAACAGCAGACGTGAAGTGTAAGAAGGAACACGCATGTGGTGGATAGGTGTAGATGCAAAGCGACACGTGGTACAAAGGGTAACTTGCTGGCACATGACAACCACCACAACACAACTACAACAAACAAACAAAAAAAAAAAAAAAAAAAAACAAACAACACCGTTGTGCTGAGCACTGACCGCCTCGACGCAGACGGCCTTGCACTGGGCGCCGTTGAAGTCGTCTGTGCAGCGCGCAAGCTCCTGGTAGTTCACGTCGGGGCTGGTACAAGCACGAGGGGGAGGGAGGAGGGGCGGAGTGGGTTGAGAGTTTGACGGCTCGTTCAAAGGAAATGTTCGGGGCAAGTGCGCATGCACACACACACACAGACACACACACACACACACACACACACACGCATGCACATGCACACACACACACACGCACACACACACACGCACACACACACACACACACGCACGCACGCACAGTTTGGGGTGAGCTCACCTGACGTTCATCTGCCTGGAGTGGATCTGCATGATGCGAGCACGGGCGTCCTCGTCCGGATGGGGAAACTCAATCTTGCGGTCGAGGCGCCCGGAGCGGAGCAGCGCAGGGTCCAGAATGTCCACGCGGTTCGTCGCAGCAATCACCTGAGTGGTGGGTGGAGGCGGTGGTGGTGAGGAAGACAATGATGAAGGTGAACGTGGGACACACACACACACACACATAAATGGCGGGCGGGGCACCTTGATGTCGTCGCTGGAGGAGAAGCCGTCAAGTTGGTTGAGCAGCTCAAGCATCGTCCGCTGCACCTCGCGGTCGCCCGCCTTCTCGCTGTCGTAACGCTGCACACACACACACACACGCACACACGCACACACACACGCAAACACACACACACACACGCAAACACACACACACACACACATGTCAGCTCGCACGCACGCACACAATCACTCAATCCCTCCCTCAATTGCCAACAGCAAAGCCACAGCCAGACATTGAACGTCCCCCTCCCCTCCTCTTTCATTCACACAAAAACAAACAACTCAACAAACCACAGAACAACACACAGCGTGTGCCAAGTGGCGTGTACGGACCTTTGTTCCGATGGCGTCGAGCTCGTCAATGAAGATGATGGCGGGGGACTTCTCCTTGGCCAGCGCAAACGCATCGCGCACCAGCTTGGCTCCGTCGCCAATGAACATCTGGGCGGTGGAAGGCGAGCGAGGTGGGACGAACACACAAGGGTTGAGCATGGGGTGAGACGGGCGAGAATTGGCCGGGCTAGTATGGGTGTTGATGTGCTGTTTGTCACATGTCTAAGCTCATGAAATAGGAACGCACGCAAACACACAATCAAACACACACACACACACAACCTAACACACACATAGTACAGACAGACACAGACACAAACATGCGCACATAGGGACATCTGACCTGCACGAGCTGGGGGCCTGCGAGCTTGAGGAAGGTGGCGTTGCACTGGGCAGCGCACGCACGTGCCATGAGGGTCTTGCCGGTTCCGGGAGGGCCGTACATGAGGCAACCTTTGGGCGGCTTGATGCCGATGGCGTCGTACTTGTCCTTGTGCGTAATCGGCAGCACAACCGCCTCAATCAACTGGAATTCGAGGGAGGGAGGAGAGCAAGGGGCGTGAGCATGTGTGAGCATGTGTGAGTGTGTGTGTGTGTGTCTGTGTGTGTCTGTGTGTGTCTGTGTGTGTGTCTGTGTGTGTCTGTGTGTGTGTACGTGAATGTGTACGTGTGTGTACGTGTGCGTGAATGTGCGGGCATGATGCCGCGGCAGACGATGACTCCACACACGACCTCCCTTCCCCTCCGACACGCACACGCACACACACACACACACAAAACCCATCGATGTGTCGTGCTGCACACCTCTCTGATCTGCTTGTCGAGGCCACCAATGTCCGTGTAGCTCTCCGTGGGCCGCTCGTCCACCTCCATCGCCTTCACCCGCGAGTCGTACTCTGGCGGCAGGCGGTCGAGGATCAGGTACGAGTCTTTGTTCACCCCCTACAGCATCACAATGCGCGTGCGTGTGCGTGCGTGTGTGCGTGTGTGCGTGTGCGTGCGTGTGTGCGTGTGTGCGTGTGTGTGTGTGTGTGTGTGTGTGTGTGTGTGTGTGTGTGTGTGTGTGTGTGTGTGTGTGTGTGTGTATTCATTAGCAATTGTGGGAGTGAAGTGAGTCAGTGTGGATGCATCAGCAAATTGCAATGGCTCCCGCTTTGCTTGCACAACACACGTAACCACCACAGCAGCAAAGACCAGTGTGCAGTGAGGTGCTGACGTACAATGAGGTCGCCGGGCTTGAGCCCTTCCTTGGAGATGAGCCCGACATTCGGCAGGAAGATCGTCTGCAGCACACACACGATGGGTGTGTTTGTGGGTGTGTGGGAGAGAGTAAAACACAAACAGACCAGGCACACGCACGCGCGCGCGCGTGCAGACAGTGTGCGGTTCACGTGGTGCACACATCGCGCATAACCGGTGCATACGGATGCCGTCACACCAAACACGGGCAGCGCATTGCGTGTCGGCTACGCTTGAGATCAAACAGGTCGTGTTGGAGCGAGTGTGTGTGTGTGTGTGTGTGTGTGTACCTGGCGAGTGGAGGTCTTGATGACGGCGCACTTGCCCTTCTTCTGCGCATCCGAATCCATCGACTGCCCGTCCTGCTCCTGTATCAATCACCAAACGCAACAGCGCGGCGATGCAACCGGCAACACAGCAGTCAGCGCTTGCATGGGCAGCAGAGCCCATTCATGCCCCCATTGACATCAAAGGCGCTCGCTCGCACAAGCACGCACACACACACACGTACAAACACGTACAAACACAACACACACACACCTTGTCCTCTTCGAGGTCCAGGAGCTGGCAATCGTGCAACACACGATGGGAAGCAGACATAGTAAACACGGTGAGCACGGTGAGCAAGGTGAGCACGGTGAGCAAGGTGATCACGTGTCTCATGCCCGACACGTGGGTCAGTCCGGACAGAACAGCACAAACCCCTGAGTGTGTAGAAGTGGCAGTGCAGAGCGCGCAGGTAAAGGCGCGCGCACACACACACACACACACGGTGGCATGACCCACCTCGACAATGTTCGACACAAGATACGGCAGCTGCTTGTGCTGCTTGACCTTCTCCTCGTTCTCCTTGATCTTCTCAATCATGTTCAGGTTCTCGTGCTCCATGCGGGCAATCTCATGGTGCACAAGCTACACGCAGAACCACGGTATGTTGTGAGGAGAGCGTCATTCGTGATGGGCAGCATGCTTTCTCTCCAACAGCACACATTATCAACGTCAAGCACACGTCACGACAACCACGCACGCACACACACACCCTGGTTTCGTCGGCGAGGAATGACGCGCGCATATCAATCTCCTCTGTGGTCCATGTGTAAACTTCCGGGTCCAGGTCGCCTCCCTGTTTGTTGTGTTGTGCGTGAGGAAGAGAAGAAATAAGAAGAAACGCATGGCAAGCGCAGTGAGCCCATCACACAACGCAACTCGCCCGTTGACAGCCAATCAACAATCAACCCCAACCCGCGCACACAACCAAACACACACACACACACACTCACACACACACACACACACCCACACACATACACACACACACAAACAAAAAACCATGGACACAATCAACAACCGTCATCACATCTGCCCGCCTTATCATTCTGTTTCTCACCTGGGCACCCATGGCCTCCTCCAGCGTGGCCATCGCGGTGTGTGCGTGTGTGTGTGTGTGTGCTTTATGTGTGTATCCGAGTGCTCTGGCGTGCTGTTGACGTACAACTTCTGTTCACTCCCTTCTCGCTCGCTCTGTGCCTGTGTCGTCTGTTCTCTGCTCCCTCTGCAGTTGTCGTTGTTCCCAAATGAACATCAGAAGCAAAGAAGCAAGAAGAGGAAGAAGCAGAGAAGAAAAAAACGATCTTGGTTCCAAGAGCAATTTTGCCTTTTGTGAGCAAAGTCAAATTTGCCCACCAACAACAGCGGCAGGCAAACACACCGCGAGAGCACACAACAAACAAGCAAGAAGAGAGTGGGTGGTGCCCGCTTGCTTGTCTGTTCCTTCCTGCCTTGCTCTCGGCTGCATCAACGCCTCACTCCAAACACACGCCGATCTCACGGTTCAGTCTCAACTACCGCCATGGCTTCCCGGATGAGCGTGAGTGCCTTGCCGTCTTGGAGGCTCGACCCCTTGCCCGCTCTTGACTGTGCATGTGTATGGCTGTGTGCAACTCGTGCGTTATTTGTTGAACGTCTTGCCACTGAGTTTCGACCACAACCCCATGACTTGTCTCCAAACACAAACCGCAACACACACACACACACACGCACGCACGCACGCACACACACGCACGCCACACACCCTCAGTCTGTTGATCCGGATGAGCCCGAGTACTTCCAGGACAACCCTGTGCCCGAGATGCGGGGCACCTTGCCCGGCGATGCTGAAAATGGGGCCGGTCCCGTTCACGAAACAACGCTCTCCACCATCCCCGACGAGGAGGAGGCGCGACAACAGCAACAGCAACAACAGCAACAGCAGCAGGCGGCTGAAGACAGCCTGCGGCCAATCACAAACGGCAGCGGCTCCAAATCGCAGCTCTTCCGGAAACCCACGCTGGGGCCAATCACCAACGAGGAGTTTATTGCGCAGGAGCTGAAGGTTATCATTGACGATGAAACCCGCACACTGGACTCGCTCATCCAGGCCACGCGCGAAGGCAACCGCTCCTTCGTGCAGGCCATCCTTGAGCAAGACATGGGCATGCGCGTTGTGAACCGCGTGGACGACGAAGGCCTCACGCCCCTGCATTACGCTGCCCGCTCCGCAGACGTGGACATGGTGCAGCTGCTGCTCAGCAACGGCGCAAACCCGCTTGCCCCGGGCGAGGAAGACATCACGCCACTGCATGTTACCGCCAAGCTATGCAACGAGCAGATCCTGCGCGCGCTGCTGGAGTACGTGGCGAAGAAGAGCGATCTGCAGACGGAGGACGCATATGGGTCCACCGCACTGCACTACGCCGTCATGCGCAAGAACGACGACAAGTGCGCAGAGCTGCTCATCTCCAAGGGTGCAGATGTCAATGCAAGTGACGCCCAGAAGCTCACGCCGCTGCACGTCGCAGCAACCTACGGCCACCACAAGGTGCGTGTGTGTGTGTGTTTGTGTGTTTGTGTGTTTGTGTGTTTGTGTGCATGTGTGCATGTGTGTTGTGTTTGTTGCTTTGTCCACACGTGTGTGCGTGTGTATGCATGGTTTGTTCACAGCAGTGGTAATTCTGATTGCACACTTTCCCGTGCCATTCCCTTCTCCTCATTTCTTTCCTGCTCATTGTGATCACCACACCCACGCACACCCACGCACACGTACACACGAACAAACAGCCTGTTGCACTGCTGATCAAGCATGGTGCAGATGTGTTTGCGCAGGACATTGACCGCGGCACACCGTCAGTCTTGCGTTGATGTTTGTTCGTGTCTACGCATGTGTGTTTGTGTCTCGTCCTTGTTTTGCATGCGAGCACTCATCACTCACGCACACGCACACAAATACATACACACGCGCATGCGCGCACACAAACACACAAACACACAAACACACGCACACATACACACATACACACGCACACATACACACATACACACGCACATACAAACAACCTCATATACAAACGCACGGGCGCACGCACGCACGCACACACGTCTGCACCGACCAACCCCAGGATGCACGCTGCTGCCATGGGCGGACACAACGCTGTGCTGCGCAAGCTCATCGTTGGTGCCGGCGACCAGATTGCCGCGCTGCTGGAAGACCCGGATGCACAGGGCAACACGGCACTACACCTCGCAGTCGAGAACCAGCATGTGCGGGCAACCAACATCCTCCTCCGCCGCGGCGCCAACACAGAGGCGCAGAACGACACGGGATCGACCCCCCTGCATCTTGCAGCACGCGGCACGAAGCAGCGTATCATCACGCTGTTGATGGAGCACAATGCACAGCTGAACGCCCGCGATGAAGAGTTGATGACGCCGCTCCACCGCGCCGCCATGTTCAACAGGGTGGAGATTATCAAGCTGCTCACCTCCGCTGGTGCTGACCCGGATGCTGTTGACAATGACGGCTTCACCCCACTCATCTGCGCATGCTGGAAGGGCCACGAGGAAGCGTTTAACCTTCTCCTCGACAACGGCGCCTCCCTTCTTCGTGGCGACAAGCTGGGGTATGCTGATTTGTGTGTGTGTGTGTGTGTGTGTGTGTGTGTGTGTCTGTGTCTGTGTTTCTGTGTGTGTGTGTGTGTGTGTGTGTGTGTTTCTTGTGTGTGTGTGTGTGTGTGTGTGTGTGTGTGTATGTGTATGTGTCTGTGTGTCTGTGTGTGTGACTGGGCTGCTTTTTCGCGTCGTTTGCCTCCCCTGATGCTCACAAGTGACCTTGCACTCACATCACACCTCGCCCACGGTGTCCATGTATACAGTAAAAACGCGCTGCTGTGGGCTATTGATGAGCACCAGAAGGCCATTGTCAACGACATCCTCAAGTGGTGCACCCACCACAACAACACCGCCCCTCTGCGCGTCTGCGACAGGTATGTGTGTATGTGTGTGTCTGTGTCGGTGTGTGTGTGTGCGTATGTGCCGGTGAGTGTGTGTGTGTGTGTGTCTCTATGTGCGTGTCTGTGTGTGTGTGTGTGCACGTATGCGTGCTTCGATTTGTTCACAGGCTCAACGCTGCTAGTCCTCCCCAACCCCTTCCCCCTTCACGTATCACTCACCACCACCACCACCACCACCACCACCATGACGCTGCGCCCATGCTTTGGTGTGCAGGTACTCCAACACGGCACTGCACGTTGCTGCGCAGGTTGGCAACACCGCCATCGCCGCCAAGCTCCTTGAAAGCGGCGAGCGTGACTTCTTCCTCGAAGCGCGCAACGACGAGGAACGCAACCCACTCCACGAAGCCGCCGTGCAGGGCCACGTCAACATGGCGCTGCTGCTCATCAAGACGGACGCGCGCCTGCTAGAGGACGACGACTACCAGCGGAACAAACCGCTGCATCTGGCGGCAACACACGGTCACGCCATCTTTGTCGAGCGGCTCCTCGCCCGCGGCGCTGCCATCGACGCAAGGTGCCCGGCATGCTCATGATGATGATGATGATGATGATGATGATGATGATGATGATGATGATGATGATGATGATGATGATGATGATGATGATGATGATGATGATGATGATGATGATGATGGTGGTGGTGGTGGTGGTGGTGGTGGTGGTGGTGGTGGTGGTGGTGGTGGTGGTGGTGGTGGTGGTGGGGAGGTGCTTGCTTGCGTCTTCAATTGCGCTTTGTGAACCCCCCACCGTCACCACCACTGCCCATCACCACTCACTGCACGACCCATGCTGACGATGGTGTCAGGAACGACTTCCGGTGGACGCCGCTGGACTGCGCTGCGTTCCGCGGATATGTCGACGTCGCCGGTGTCCTCGTCAAGCACGGCGCGCCCGTCGACAGCACAGACAACAACAAGGTGATGCCCGCGGCGTTGGTTGAGAGTGCGTGGGTGTGTGGGTGTGTGGGTGTGTGGGTGTGAGCGTGGGTGTGGGTGTGGGTGTGGGTGTGGGTGTGTGGGTGTACCCGCATTTATGTGGTTGCGTGCATTTGTTATTGTGTACAAGAAATGATACACATTGTAACGTGAACCGTTGCCACTTCTCTCCCTCCCCTTGTCTCTCCTTCGTCCCGCTACACCACCCACCCTCCCACCCCCTCCACGCCAACTGCATCTCTCTGTGTGCAGATGACGCCACTGCATCTTGCTGCCAGGAGCGGGCACGTGGACGTGGTGACGCTACTGCTCAACTCCAAAGCAAGCCTCGCCCTCAAGAACGCCGACGGCGAGAATGCACTGGTACGCACTCACAATCCTTGAAGACTGGATGAAGAAGCAGGAGGGGCGGGTGTTCAGTCGCTTGTGTTGAACGAGGGATCTCTTACATCGTACACGCAGCGATTGTGTGTCAACACGAATGCCCCAACACACACACACACACACACACACACACACCTACACACACACACTATGCACGCCCGCTGCTCCCGCTCACACCATCTCACCAAATTCACACCCAACCACACTCACACATGCACGTCCTCACCTCTTTGACTCTCTCCCCTTCCCCTCTACCTCCAAGGACATGGCTGTACGGCACGGGCGGGTTGAGACGGCGCTTGCGATCATCAACCACGAGCGGTGGGAGCAGGCCATGGACAACTGCGACGAGCACGGCATCACCCCGATGAAGCGCATGATCATCCTCATGCCAGAGGCAGCCCTCGCCGTCCTCAAGGTGTGACTGCTGGTGGTGGTGGTGGTGGTGGTGGTGGTGGTGGTGGTGGTGGTGGTGGTGGTGGTGGTGGTGCCGTACTGATGGTGGGAGCACTCGTGCGGTTCACCATGGTCATGTTCTCACGTCACCCCTCCTGTGTGGTCCATGCGTTATCTCTCTCTCTCTCTCACCTACACACACACGGACATCCACACACATCGACACTCACACACCCACCTGCATGCAATGTTTGCGCTGCATGTGTTGTTGCGACACAACAGCGGTGCTGGTGCGACAACGGCCGGCAGCCAACGGATGCCGACTTTGCAATCACATACACGTGGAAGTACATTGACGAGGAGCAGAGCACCGGGTTCCACTCGGACGTGGAGAACATGCCTCTCTGGCTCATGCAGAAACACAACCGTGCGGAGCTGCTGGCACACCCTGTCACAGAGGCGCTTGTCTTCTTCAAGCACAAGCACTTTGGAGCCATCACCTACTACCTCAACCTCGCCTTCTACGCCCTCTTCCTCTTCTTCCTCACCTTCTTCATCGTGGATGTCCCCATGCGCCTGGGGGAGACAGCCGACCTGGCGGGTCTCTCCGTCGCCGCGCAGTTCATTGTCGTCGTGTTTTCCACCTTCCGTGTGCTGGCCGAGGTGGCACAGATGGCCTTTGACCGCTCAAAGTACTTTACCGACTTTGTCAACGTGCTGGAGTGGGCGGTGTTCACGACGTCGCTTGGGTTCTTCATTCCGTTCTACATCGGCAGCGAGCAGACGGTGGCGCAGTGGTCGAGCGGGGCCGCGGCCGTGTTCCTGGCCTGGGTCAACTTTGTTGCGCTCATGCGCAAGCTGGATGCGTTTGGCATCTACGTGCTCATGTTCGAGGAGACAGTGATCACGGTGCTGAAGGTGCAGGTGGTGTTCTTCCTCTTTGTCATTGGTTTCGCCCTCTCCTTCTTCATTCTCTTCCAAGACACGTTCTACTTCTCAGATATTGGGCGGTCCATCATGAAGACGCTTGTCATGATGACGGGCGAGTTTGAGTACATTGATTACTTTCCGGACGAACTTTCCTTCGAGGTCCTCCCATACTTCATGTTCGCCCTCTTCGTCATCATCATGCCAATCATCCTCATGAACCTTTTGGTGAGTTTGCTGTCCATCCTGCGTGCGTGTGTGTGTGTTTGTTTGTTTGTGTGTGTGTGTGTGTGTGTGTGTGTGTTTGTTTGTTTGTTTGTTTGTTTGTTTGTTTGTTTGTTTGTTCGTTTGTTGGTGACATGCCGACGTTGTCCACGTTTGCCTTCCTTTCCTCTTGCTTGTCCCTCACCCCCCCCCCCGCTTTTTTTTCTCGTTCCTTCCACCCGTTACCAGGTCGGTCTTGCTGTTGGCGACATCCAACGCATTCTCGACAACGCCCGCCTTAACCGCCGCAAGATGCGCGTACAAGATCTGCTGCCGCTGCAGGCGTTCCTGGTCTGGATGCACTCCAGACTTCCCTTTATCAATGATCGTGATGTGGATACGTTCTACCGTGCGACGTACAAGCTGCACGTCAACAAGCGCTCCTTCTGGCGCTGGCTCGCATCCCGCATCATCACCTTCAAGCAGGAATACTCAATCGTGGTGCGTTTAATAGTGATGTGTGTGTGTGTATGTGTGTGTGTGATGTGATATGATGTGTGTGTGTGCATGTGTCAGCGCGCCTCATTCAACACTCTCGTCTGCAATGACTGACGCCAACCATTGTCGCCACCATCAACCAACCACCCAACCACCATCAACCATCAACCATCGACTACCAGGATCTGGACACGCACGTTGAGATGACGGAGTTGGAGAAGCTTCAAGCGGCAAACCGCGGGCTCACACGCGATGTCAACAAACTCCGCAAGAAACTGCGCCAGCTCACGGCCGTTGTTGAAGACCAGGCCCTCCTCATCCGCGACATGTGCCACGGTCGGTGCACTCTTCCTGCTTGTGTGTGTGTGTGTGTGTGTGTGTGTGTGTGTGTGTGTGTGTGTGTGCGTCTGTTTGTCTGTCTGTCTGTCTCTGTGTGTGTCTGTGTCTGTGTCTGTGTCTGTGTGCGTATGTGTCCAACCGTCGTATGCCCCTCTGTGTGCTTGCTTCTCACCTCCATCCCTTTCTGGCGCCATTGTTTGCGTGTGTATAGCCAATGATATTGAGCTTGACTGGGACTGAAGCGGTGCTCTGGCCTCACATTGCGCTTGCGTTCACAAAGTTAATTGCGTTTGTGTCATTCTGTGTATTGTTGTTCATGTGTGTTAACGCTGGGGTTTCTTTCAAGCACAAACAACGTGGTTGAGTGCCATGGAGTTGAGAGTGAGTGAGAGAGATTGTGTGTGTGGGTGCGTGTGTGCGTGCGTGGGTGCGTGCGTGGGTGCCTGTATTTTGGATGTGCTTTGGGCATGTGTTCATGAGATGCTGAGTGGCTTTTGTGCATGAATGGTGCTATGGTGTTGGGTCAATTGAACGCATATGGAATGAAGCAATGAGAGGACAGAGAAGCTGGCTGAACGGTACAATGAGTGAACACAGGCCAAGCAAGGACATACAAACGAAAGCACACAAAACGCAGTGAGCAACAGCTGCTCAGTCAATCTGCTGCACAGACAGCAGTCCTTGGGGTCTGGGATGATGGTGGCGGTTAACGCATTAAGGGGGGGGGGGTGCACGTGAGAACACGACCACCGATCGCGCGAACATGACACACATGGCTGGCAATACATCGCACACACACTTCACACACACAGCCACACACACACACACACAGCCACACACACACACACACACACACACACACACACACACACACACACACACACACACACACACACACACACACACACACACACACACACACGCACAATACACAAGTGCATGCACAAGCATACACATACCCTCACGCGTTCACTTTAACGCGCTTACACACGCATATACCCCCGCACACGAACCACGCACACCACAAAACCAAACAGACTTGTTACGGTATAGAAACTGGACCCAGTGGTTTTTTTGAAGTTCCCCCCCAAAAGAGACGAAAGTGTCGGCGAATAGCTTGGCGGAAACCCGGCCCCATAGGGAATACAGCCGCTGCT